TAAAGGTCCACACTGTACTCTCTGAGCATGTCTGGTTCCTCTCTTATAGGTCCACACTGTAATCTCTGAACATGTCAGGTTCAGCTCTTAAAGGTCCATACCCTACTGTCTGAGCATGTCTGGTTCCTCTCTTAAAGGTCCACACTGTACTCTCTGAGCATGTCTGGTTCCTCTCTTATAGGTCCACACTGTAATCTCTGAACATGTCAGGTTCAGCTCTTAAAGGTCCATACCCTACTGACTGAGCATGTCTGGTTCCTCTCAAAGGTCCAAACTGCATCTCTGAGCATGTCTGGTTCCTCTCTTAAAGGTCCACACTGTACTGTCCGAGCATGCCCAGATAATCTCTGAAAGGTACACAATGTACTATGAGCATGCCCAGTTCTTTTCTCAAAGGGACACAATGTACTCTCTGAGCATGTCCAGTTCATTTATTAAAGGTAGACACTATACTTGAGCATTCATGGTTCAGTTATTCAGGGTACATGCTGTACTCCCTGACTGAGGAATATTCCCTATACCGTGAGCCTTGCAGAATGTGGTACTATTATGATGTGGTTTACTACTTCCTGTGACGTTCATCACATAATAAATGAAGATTCACTTTAAAATGCATTTGCATTTTCATCATGATCCTAAGTATCAAGTTTATAGCACAATGGAGTGCTCTATGTCAGTGATCAGGGTGTTTATATGCAAGCACTTTTATTTATACTCTCATAATAACCTGCATAAATATACTTAAAGGAACTGAATACAACAAATGCTACAACTGGAGCCAATGTTTATCATGTAACTATTCAAATATTATTTTTGAAGGACTGTGGCTTGTATCTTCACAATACTAATTTCATTCTGGGGGGATGAATTTGGAAACAGCGTCCCCCAGTTAGCGACACCGATCTCAGTTACGCACAGATGATTTTATGACTCACGGTGATTAATCTGTGAGTATCCAGAGACAACAGCTATTGCTGTCTAGGTTGAACAGGGCAGTCACCAGCCTGAGTAAATATGAAGACAAAACCTGGAAAGGATTTACGTAAGACGCATAAAGCAGACGTGATCACTGCAATTGCCCGAACAGTGCGCCGGACGTAAATGATTTCCTTTCATTTATAAAGGACACAGTGCCACCCAGTGGAGACATCGTTGGATGCTTTGATGCTAACTGGAGCAGGCACGTGCAGAGGGCAGAGGGGGGGGGGGGCGGAGGGTGTTTGAGCACCCGCCCCTTTAAACGTCTCTGCACGGCCCTGAACTGGAGCTTCCTGCACATAAATGGAGCTCATTTCACAACACCTGTACTGTGTGAGAGGAGTGGGGCGGCTCCTCTGTTAGCGAAGGGGTTTGCCTTTCCATCGGGATGATTAGCACCTGGCCGGGCTGACAGGGTGAGCTCTGGCAGTCTTAAAATCCCAAGCCACTCACCCTCATTACATAAAGATAAACGGGCATCTGAGGATGCCGCCAGCCTGGTATCCCGTGCGCGAGGCTGTGCTGTGAAGGGCTAATAGTGGCTGGAGCCATCATCAGCTGATCTTATGTGTTTTGTGTCAATATGCTTTTGGTTTATACTGTGGGCCGTCTGCTGCTAGAAAGTTTGATCTTTAGGTGTTTGCAGGGTTGTCGACTCTCATGCATCTGGTGTGATACTCATGCTTTCTGACTCTCACACTCACGCAAGAAATCTTAAGGCAAATTTATATTACTCCATTATAAACCTAGAATGAGGTACATCAAAAGCGTTGGGGTAGTTTGCAAACCCTACAGACTATTTTCAAGGTAATGAAGATGTTACATGTAAATGAGCGTACAGACTTGCCTCAAATTGACCATCTCACGCCAGCCAGCTGGCAGCCTTGTTTTTAAGTGGAGTTTCTGAAAGGACATCGGTCGGTCATTATATTAGAACAACAACCAAGCAAACAAGCATGCAAACAAGCTGCCCTAACCTGCAAATGTCAGTAAATTACAGGCATTAAAAACGTTAAACGAAGAAGCTGTGTGCAGTTGCTAAGTAGGCGCTGATTACGGGATTTACTATATGCTCATTATATTCAGTACCTCCCTTTAATTCTCAAATGTATATTGACCTTTTTTTAGGGAACTTAAAATCAATTTTCAGCCCATTTAGATGAGTTAGAAGATAACAGAGGGGAGGGTGTGTAAGTATTGATATTTATTTAAAGAACAACCTTAGGTGTCCTTTCATGGATGATTTCCACGAGCCGCTGACGGCCGACATTGATTGAATGTAAATGAGATTCCAAGACGGGTTAATGAGCTGGTCCAGCTGACTAAGCTAGCGCTAAGCCAGGCTGTTTTCTGCGGGGACGAAGTGACGTCCAAACAAATGTAAAATCAGGGAACTAATTAACGGTCCAGCAAGCAACCCCAGAGCGGACACGTGAGACCCCTCCGAGGCGGCATGAGCAATGAGAAATGTGACAGAGAGTAAGGGGGTCAGCTGTGGGGTGTTGGGGGCGTGGCCGCGTGATCACAGGCTGTCATACTCCTCACTGATGTTCAAGACGAGCAACGTTTTATAGACTGCATGCTTGTTTATGCAGATAAAATTGTCTGCAAACGAATGTATTAATTTAATTTGCCTTTAGTACCTGTAATTTACTGCAGACTACTGTTACTGTAGCCTGGAAATGCCAGTTATACAGGTGCAGTCACGTGCCTCTGTTGTGGGGGCAATTTGTAAAGTGTGCCCCCGAGTCATTGGACGAGGATGAAGCTGTTCCCTTTAAGCTGTGTGCGCATTTGCAGCCCAACGCGAACTGTTTTATTAAACCAGGAGCCATTTTTGTACTATTGGTGTTTATATGGGCGGCATAGTGGGCTTGGCCTTCGGATCCCACCTGTGTGTGCGTGTGACTCGGTAAGTTCCTCCTGTGGTGCACGGATTTACTCCTGATATTCAGGTTCTCTGCTGCAGTCTAAAGATGTGCATTCAGGCTAATTTGCGCCTCTTGCTGTCCCGCAACCCTGACTAGGGCAAGTGGTTAGATGATGAACGGATGGGTGTTTAGATATGCAGCATGTCCAATAGAGGGCGCCAGAGGCACACGAACAACTCAAAACTCACAAACGATTATGGCAACGTGATTCCTATTTTGGTATGTTAGATTATTATTTATTTGTATGCTGAATAATGTTATTGAACCCCCACTCATCCATTAAATTATTAGTCTGTGTCTTCCCCCTTTACCGATATGAAACGCTCTTCTACACCAATGTCTGCCGGCACCTGCAGGTATTGTGGGGAATCTCACCAGCACAAAGAGCAGAAGGCAGTAAGACAGGTTTTATACTCTGCCTCCCATGTATGATTTTTCCACTATTCAGTTATGGTAGATCAGAAGGGACACACATTTTTGTAAACCACAGAGTATAGTAAAATGGCAGAGTGAAGTTAAACGATACAAGGTAAAATGGTGTAATTAAATGTGTGACTTTTTAATAAAATGCTTCTTCAGCATAGGCAGTGTACAAAGGCTCACTGTCAGGGACCAAGAACATGCGTCTCCATCAGGTTCTTCATGAAGCTCACTATGGGTCTCCATAAGGTTCTCCATGAGGCTCACCATGAATCTCCATCAGGTTCTCCATGAGGTTCACTATGGATCTCCATCAGGTTCTCCATGAGGCTCACTATGGATCTCCATCCGGTTCTCCATGAGGCTCACTATGGATCTCCATCAGGTTCTCCATGAGGCTCACTATGGATCTCCATCAGGTTCTGCATCAGGTTCTCCATCAGGTTCTCCATGAGGCTCACTATGGATCTCCATCAGGTTCTCCATGAGGCTCACTATGGATCTCCATCAGGTTCCTTTCCCTGTTTATGCACCTTTTCCAGCGTGGTTACTGTAGCTAAGAAACATTCAGCATTAGGCAGTCTGTCACCCGCGACATACATGGTGATCACATGGAAAGGGGCCTTAATCAGAAGCTGCATACCACACTCTAGCATTGAGTACTAGTATTCAGAAAACTGCATTTGTGGTGATTTTATAATTATAAATCTATATGCATTAGAATAAATTAAAATGTGGATGGATGTTCCTGCAAAGAGCCCTAATCACTTTTTCGTTTTTTTGTTTGCTGTGTAAATATTGAAGCTGTATGATACCAACAGGATGTAGGTGAGCTTGCCAAAGGTAACAGCATATAGCATGATCAAGAAAATAATGTCACACTAAGCTCCCTGCATGTCTGGCACAGACTGACTGTGGCTTCGTGTGAAGGTCCTGTGAAGGAACATACCTTTTGTGGTTCGCTTTACTCCTATTAACACTAAGCCCTCGCAGTATGGCATGGCTGTGTGGCACGGTTGTGTGACTGGGCTGTATGGCATGGCTGTGTGACAGGGCTGTGTGGCACGGCTGTGTGGCATGGCTGTGTGGCACGGCTGTGTGACTGGGCTGTATGGCATGGCTGTGTGGCACGGCTGTGTGACTGGGCTGTATGGCATGGCTGTGTGGCACGGCTGTGTGACTGGGCTGTATGGCATGGCTGTGTGACAGGGCTGTGTGGCACGGCTGTGTGGCATGGCTGTGTGGCACGGCTGTGTGACAGGGCTGTATGGCACGGGTGTGTGACAGGGCTGTATGGCACGGGTGTGTGACTGGGTTGTCTGACTGGACTGTGTGGCACGGCTGTGTGATAGGGCTGTGTGACTGGGCTGTGTGGCAGGGCTGTGTGACTGTGCTGTATGGCACGGCTGTATGAAAGGGCTGTGTGGCACGGCTGTGTGACTGGGCTGTGTGGCACGGCTGTGTGACTGGCCTGTGTGACAGGGCAGTGTGGCTTGGCTGTGCGACAGGGCTGTATGGCACGGCTGTGCGACTGGGCTGTGTGGGACAGCTGAGCAACAGGGCTATATGGGATGGCTGTGTGACAGGGCTGTGTGGCATGACTGTTTGATATGGCTGTGTGGCTCGGCTCTGTGACTGAGCTGTATGGCACGGCTGTATGACTGGGCTGTGTGGCACGGCTGTGTTACTCTACTGTATGGCACAGCTGTGTGATTGGACTGTATGACTGCGCTGTGCGACTGGGCTGTATGCCATGGCTGTGTGACTGGACTGTATGTCACGGCTGTGTGATAGGGCTGAGTGACTGGGCTGTATGCCACGGCTGTGTGACTGGGCTGTGTGGCACGGCTGTGTTACTCTACTGCAGTGGTTCCCAAAGTAGGGGTCGCAACCCTCTGGGGGGTCGTGAGACATTGAGGGCGGGGGGTTGCGAGATGATTTCCAAGAAATCAAATATTTTTTTTAAACTATTAGAAATAACATTGCCATGCCATGCAGCCATGCCACACAGCCCAGTCACACAACCCTGTGTGGCATGGCTGCTTGGCATGGCTGTCTGATTGGCATGTGTGACTAGGCTGTGTGATAGGGCTGTGTGGCACGGGTGTGTGATAGGGCTGAGTGACAGGGCTGTGTGGCACGGCTGTGTGATAGGGCTGAGTGACAGGGCTGTGCGACGCGGCTGTGTAATAGGGCTGTGTAACTCAACTGTGACATGCTGCTTCCAGCTGTGTGTATCCAAGGCATGAAATCATCACCTCGCAGGACTTTCTGAGGAGAATCATCCAGCCTGGCATTTTCCTCAGTATATCATGTGTCCTGCTGCTGGAGCCCTTCATGCCAGCAGAAAGCATCTCTAATTTCTGGCCGAACAGCATGCTGAAGAGTGATTACCAGCACGTGTGTTTGCTGTTCATAAGAACATAAGAACATAAGAAATTTACAAACGAGAGGAGGCCATTCGGCCCATCAAGCTCGTTTGGGGAGAACTTAGCTAATAGCTCAGAGTTGTTAAAATCTTATCTAGCTCTGATTTAAAGGAACCCATGGTTTTAGCTTCCACTACAATAGCAGGAAGACTATTCCATACTCTGACTACACGCTGTGTAAAGAAGTGCTTCCTCAAATTTGTTTTAAAATGTTCTCCCGCTAATTTCCACTTATGGCCACGAGTTCTAGTATTTAGTATTTATGTTATGAATAATTAAATGTTTAAGCACACAGTTTAAGGAGGAAG